TAAATCCCTGTCCAATGTATTTCTTTTCTGCAGTAAAGGATCTAACTCAAAGATGGAGTATATGCTATTTAATAGAGTAATGTACAATTCCAAAATTGCCATTGCTCTTCTTCCTTGAAGCTCTCTAAAGCCATTTAAAATCACATGCTTTTCTTTGTAACTATTCTCAAGCCAAATGCTAATCTGAAGGCCAGTCTCTGAAGCTGGTTTGTAATCTCACATAAATCAGTTGGAAGTGCCCAAAGGGGCCCAAAGTAGCTTCCTTATGTTGTAACGGAATTCGTATATTAAAGACATATTGTAAGAATAATTCAGTTGTCAAAATATACATCCAATACAATGATAATGTCTGGTATGCATCAATGTCTTGAGCTTCCAGTGAAATACTAAATTTTGCACAGTATCTCAAGGGCAAGTGTTAAATACTACTGTGAGCCCTCAAACTTGACTACATAGGATTGGTGATCTGTGGACAGATTCCACAGAAATGTATTTCTACAAAAGAATGAAAATATCAGCTTGATTGGGACTAATCTGAAGGAAAAATGTCCAGTTTGATGAGCTCACCCATAGCAAAGCCTTGGCTTCAAATAAACAGATGGCCCAGAACCCATTGGCTTAATGCCCAAGGCTTCAGGAGCCTTATTGCAGGTGACATAAGAAACACAGAAGAGTACCTTCATCAAAAGCTTTTGGGGTCTTTGGAATATAAGTCATATATTCCTGAGATTATTCTAAGTGAGTGTAATGCAAAGTGGAGAGAAGTAGGCCCCATTTTACCTTGGGAAAAGATGAAGTTTGGACACTGTCGGCTTCTTTGCGTATGGCTTCTTACCAGAAGTGTGCATCAAAACATCCAAGGAGATAATGATGTCTAGCAGAGTGTTGGCTGAAATCACTGTTCCTAGGGTTGCAATGGGAGGGTCAAAAGCAAGACTATGAAAACTGGAGAGCGTATGGCAAGACTTAGAGAAACAATAGCTTTGCTTAAGGAAAGTTCTGCAAGGACCAACAAAACAATGATTATAAACATGAGTGAGATGCCACTTGTAGATTCTTAGATATACTTTAGGAACCTTTGCAGGTGACCTCAGCTTGTATTGGAAAAAATATGGAAAACCATTATATATGCAATACTGCTGTTAATTAGAACTCTTTTGTACTTACAGTTTGATAGGGTTGAAGAAACTTCACCTTATACACTTATAAGTTTTGTTTCCTACTCTTTGGCTAGCCACCCGTGAGAATGTATACACCCTGTAGCACCTCCAGGTTTGTTTTAGCAAAATTACAGAATTTACGTATCTGAAATTCAAAGCTAGTATTCCAGATTGAACACTTTTTTGGTTTCCTGAGTCCACTATGGTCTGTGTCTCTTCTCTGAATTTACGTATCAATTTTCATCTGTACCATTCATTTAATGAGCTTATTACATCCTTGTGTGTGTCATTGTTTGTATTATTGTCCTGAATGCCTAAAACTGCAGAAATGTTTTACACACAAAGTAGGTTCTATCTCCCTTACTGGACTATAAACTCTCCCAGGTTGTTCAGACTTGTTTTTGTGTAAGTTAGAGTAGTTTGTCCTATGTTATTACTATGGTAGATACTGAAAAGGACTTGAATGAAGGCATGAATAAAATATTTAATTTTTAATCACTAAATCCCTGGTGATCTTACACAGAGACAGGCTCAGTTGCTGTTACATGGTTTGGTTCATCTATTTACACTATATTGTAGCCAATAACAAATAAATGGCTAAATGCTTCCTCTCAGTAGGGTGTGGTGATTCCCTGGGACAATTTCTCATTTGTCAGAATTGCATTTGAATATAAGTGCAAGGAATGAAGTAAAAAAGAATAGACAAAAATCTGCTTATAAATTTAAAATTTTTCACTAAAAACACAGCAGTAAAACAGCTAAAGCTCAAATGTAGAGAATCATGTCTCCTGAAAATAAATATGCCCCAAGCTCATAAACACCAAGGCTAGTGGTCAGGAATGAACAGATGTTTATTGCCTCATGCACCCTCTGCTACTCTGGGATAATCTCTTAAATATCCCAAATCCAGTTTGAATTTAAATTAGATTCATATTTTCTTTCATGATTATTCCATTAAAAATATCATATGATTAGCCAATTAAATGGAGAGAAAAAAATCAGTAGGAGAGCAATCCCCTTTAATATTTTCAATTAAGATGTAGTGTGGCCAATAAAAACAGCTTACATTTTCATTTTATGGGTACCTATGGAGAGCATTATGACACAAATGACTCAGAAGAAGGTAATCGTTTCAAAATATATTGTAGTGGAAGACTGTAAACAGTGCAGTGTGTTAGCTTACAAGGGATGTGATGAAAATATAAAGTTTTTTTCAAAGGGGATTCATGTTTATTTTATAGTCTTTTAGGGTGCTTGTGCCTGCCAATTTACAGCACATATTTCTAAAATGCCACAGACTGTTCTCTCTTAGGGAAGGGTGGGAAGGTGAGGGTATATCCATTAGGGGATAATATGTTTTTAAGGAGAAGGGAGTCGTGCAGCAATTCCATCCTGTCTGCTGCCCAGATTTGAAATGAAACTTCACCAGGGCATAGAATAAAGCCTTATTTTCTTATAGGACCATAAGGGAAAGGCTGAGGCTGCTTGATGTCAAATGCAACAGGAATATGGAAAGTTTGTAACTCACAGCATAGGCATCAGTTATTTTGAGATCTGTAACCACTGACACTGGATTTAATTGTTTCATTTTTTTCTGACTTCTTGAGATTGTGAAACCAATTAATATCAATCTAAATAGTTTATAGTGGTTATAGTTTGTCAACATTTTTTTGTTGTACAAGCTCTTCTATATATTTGATTTTATTAAATTAACATGAATGAAATTCTCATAGGCTGGGGATGGTTCTCAGCTCTTCCATATTAAAAATGTTTATCTCAGTGGGGTGGTTCAAGGTGAGAGGGAAAAAAGAATTAAATAAAAAAGTTTATTCTAGCTTTATTGAGAAATTATATGTGTGATTTTGACTGAACAAGAGCTTATCATGACTATATGAGCCCACTATACATCTGTGAACATAAAGATTTAATAAATATTTGCTTGGTCATCAAGGTAAAAGCAGATCAGTAGTATTGAGAACACTTCTGAACAAACTGAAGCATCAATGAAAACTAATAGAAGCAACTGGAAATTAAAAGGCATACGACTAATAATAGAATTTAAAATTTTTAAAAAATTCTTTAATCAAAACATGTTATGTGCTTACCATGTATCAGACTCTGACTAAACTTTTAATATACATTACTTCCCTCAATTTTTTCCACAATCCTGTGAGATTGGTGTTATCATCAGACTCAACAAAGACCACATACTCAGCAAGTGGAAGTAAGTTGGAGAATAATTACTACATCTAGGGCCATGGCAGCATAAAGTTCATCTACTGGTTACATGTACTCAACACTGTTATAAGCACAGGAAATAGTGGAGTAAATAGAGGTGAACAAGTCAATGAAGATCCCTTCACTCATGGAACTGACATTCTATCTATTGTGAGGATAATTAAAACTTGGTCCTTAGCTATTTGATAAAGTACCTGTTTTTTGTAATGAATATGATGAAGAATTAAAAATGTGAAGCTAAACATTGACCAAAGCCTTTTCTTTCCCTTTAAGTCATACTCATATAGAATAAACCTGTTTTCTACCTACTTTTGTGTTTACCCAGTAATTATGTAAACTATATTAATATTTCAAATCCCAGACTTTTGATATGAATTAGATTCATTCTTTGTTTACAGGAAGATTCAGAAGAACACTGAATCTTTCGATAAAATGATTGTTGGCCACAGGCATAAAAAAGTTTGTTGTATCCATTTCCCCACCACACACAACTAATTTAAATTTTTTGACTGATTATGTTATCTTATTTTCAAAAGCTGTCCTACAAGAAGTGTCTCAAGGTTATTCATCTTAGAGAATTTCAACATCACTCCCCTCAAGAAGATTTTCATTTTCTTAATTATCAGGTTTTAAGTGGAAATATAAGGTACTCTGAAAGTGAAATTTCAGGTCTTACACTGTGAAGAAGACAGCACAGGTCTGGTAGTCTTCAATCCTGTCCTTAACATTACATCACATAAATAGTCAATGACACAGTACACACTTACAACTTTAACAATTATATGATTTGCTACCCTCCCCTTCTCTTTTCCCAGTAATTCTGGTATGGTTTTCCCAATCAAGATGCACTTGTTAAAGTTTTCATAATGTTTGTTATGATTGGCCCAAAAGTGCACTCTTGCAACTAATCATTTTCTTCTAAGACTTTGGGGACAGTAATAATAACATATGTATTTTAAAGGCTTTGCTATCTGCTATGTATATATATGGTGATGTTGGGTATTAATTGTCTTAACAAGTGAAAAAACGTTAATTTGGTTAAGTTGCAAACTGAGAACTTGTACTCAGAATGTGCAAGTTACTGATTAGTAATAGTAAATATAAGAGAGAGAAATGCATGTCTTAATACTGGATTATTCAAATACAAGTTACAGTGGTATAATCTTAATCTCTGTTTACTTATCTACAAAATGTGAATAAAAATATTTACTTCTTAGGATTTCAGTAATTTTTAAGTTATACTCTTTACATAAAGCTTTCAGCACAGTGTTTGGGACATGAAAATTGGTATAGGCATGGTAAATAACAGTATCCTCATCCAGTTGTCCTGAACATCAAAACAGCTATAAACTTGAGTAATTTGAAATAAAACAAGTGTTTTACTGTTATCTATCCTATGTCACACGAGAAAAGCCTCCATGATTTCTGTATCTCCATAAATTGCAAAATGAACATGAATGTGGACAGGATGGGCAGTTTTGTAATGAATGTAATTTGTTGTGTTTTGTTTGAAAGCAAGAAAGAGAAAGAGAAAGGGGGAGAGAGAACAGGAGTCTTGCTCTATTGCCCAGGCTGGAATGCAATCTAAAAATAGGTATTAGGACATGGCGGAGGACGCCTCCTCAGCTGCTCCGAGTCCCCGGGGCTGTGCGGATGGTAGGGATGCCGACGCTACCGAGGAGCGGATAGCAGAAACGGAGAGAAACCACGAGGAGCAGTTCGAGTGCCAGGAACTACTCGAGTGCCAGGTGCAGTTGGGGGCTCCAGAGGAGGAGGAGGATGCGGGCCTTGTGGCCGAGGCCGAGGCTGTGGCTGCCAGCTGGATGCTCGATTTCCTCTGCCTCTCTCTTTGCCGAGCTTTCCGCGACGCCCGCTCCGAGGACATTCTTCAGACCCGCGACAGCACCGAGGCTATTATTCATGGACTATCCAGTCTAACAGCTTATCAGTTGAGAACTGTATACATATGTCAGTTTTTGACAAGAATTGCAGCAGGAAAAAACCTTGATGCACAGTTTGAAAATGATGAACGAATTACACCCTTGGAATCAGCCCTGATGATTTGGGGTTCGATTGAAAAGGAGCATAACAAACTTCATGAAGAAATACAGAATTTAATTGAAGTTCAGGCTATAGCTGTTTGTATGGAAAACAGGAACTTTAAGGAAGCAGAAGAAGTCTTTGAAAGAATATTTGGTGATCCAAATTCTTACGCGCCTTTAAAAAGGAAATTGCTTATGATAATCTCTCAGAAAGATACATACCATTCTGTTTTTCAACACTTCAGTTACAACCACATGATGGGGAAAATTAAGAGTTATGTGAATTATGTGCTAAGTGAAAAATCATCAACCTTTCTAATGAAGGCAGCAGCAAAAGTAGTAGAAAGTAAAAGAGCAAGAACAATAACTTCTCAAGATAAACCTAATGGTAATGATGTTGAAATGGAAACTGAAGCTAATTTGGATAGAAGAAAAAATGTTAGTGACAAACAGTCTGTGGTAACTGAATCCTCAGAGGGTACAGTATCCTTATTGAGGTCTCACAAGAATCTTTTCTTACCTAAGTTGAAGCATGGAACCCAGCAACAAGACCTTAGTAAAGAAAGAAGAGTAGGAACTCTTCAAAGTGCAAAAAAGAAAAAAGAAAGAAGAAGAGACACTGAAAGTAGAATACCTGTTTCAGAAAGTCAACCGGTGACTCCTGAAAAACATCGAGCTAGAAAAAGACAGGCATGGCTTTGGGAAGAAGACAAGAATTTGAGATCTGGCATGAGGAAATTTGGAGAAGGAAACTGGTCTAAAATACTGTTGCATTATAAATTCAACAACCGGACAAGTGTCATGTTAAAAGACAGATGGAGGACCATGAAGAAACTAAAACTCATTTGCTCAGACAGTGAAGACTGATTGCGTTTCTAAAAGCTTGATGAAAGGACAGTTAAGTACATATAGATCACTACATTTTGTTTGAAACTTGCATCATTGATGTATTTTAAAACTTTTGTTTAAAGCATTACAGTATTTTTCTGTGACCATCGATATAAGGGTTTGTGCTCTAAGAATTAAAGTATATGCTATCATTGTGTTCTTTAAGAACGTTTTGATAAACTGTAAATTTGTTGAACCCTGCCACATTTAGTATCCCCACCTCCAAATCCTATTCCAGTGAAAAAATTAAAAGCTGATCTGAAAAAAATATTTTAATTAACCTATTTTGTGTCTGTAGGCTGACCTCAACCCTGTAACGTAACCCATTGAAATGAATTTTTTAGATAATTGAATAACAATAGTCCTTTGATATGAGATAGTGACTTGGTTTATGGCCTTAATATACTGCTTAATTACTTAAGACATTCATTAATAGAATGATAAATGTACAAAGTAACCTATAAGTATGACATACGTTTGCTTTCAGTGGCTTCATGTAAAGAAAAAAACTTGAAAACGGTAATACCCAAGAACACATGGGAACAGTAGACACTGGGGAGGTAGGGTGGGGAGCAAGAGCTGAAAACTACCTACTGGATACTCTGCTGACTACCTGAGTGAGGGGATCATCCGTACCCCAAACCTCAGCATCACAAACCTAGTATACCCAGCTAACAAACCTGCCCATGTGTTCC